CGGCGGCAAAAGTCACCGGGAGTCTGTTTAAACAGCCCCGATGCTGGCGACGTACACTGTACGTCGTCAGTCACGAAGGGGTTAATACTTGAACAGCCACTTTTACCATTTAAGTATTTATCTACAGGTATTGAATCCCTGTTTATTTGTGCTGCAACTCATTTGGTTTTATTCATGTGGCTTCATTCACTTCATAAATGCCTTGTAACTGCTGATCTCCGTAAGGTGTCAGTGTCTATATAGAACTACTCTGAAACTGTGCAGACATCAATTCGCATTTATTTTTCAGGAGTACCGGTACCTGTGTTTGAAGGAGTCTTGGTGTATTATTGCTAAGCTGCTTTTGTCACAGATGTCAGCACTATTTTCAGTTACTTTAATAGCTGGATCAGATAGGTGTACTTTGCACATCATCACTGCTAATTGTACTATTTTACTGAATAAGCTGTGTTGTTGCTCTTTTAATATAATCTAATTCACACAATGAATAAAATTGTTTGAGAATATGTCTTCATATTTTGTACACAGGCACCTGAGTCTCATAGTGTGCTTGCTAACGTTTAACATTATAATGCTGATGGCCGGGATGGTTGATACAGCTGTCTGTGGAAAGTTTCTGGGTCTCACCCAAGGCTGAGTAAAAGCTGTGTTTGTGGTTTCATCAGACCACATGCACTGTCACTGCTGGAGCTGCCTGGAGCAACCTGCTGTCTTCTGGTAGACTCACACCCACAGCCTGATGAGTGGGATTTTTATGTGCAAATTGTGCATCCCTGGAAATAGACTTTCAACGAATGGCCAGGAAAGTTAGTAAAATGGTAACAAGAAGACTATGCTGCCCTGTAACTTCTGTGGAGGATTAGAGTGCCATAAATGTAGATTAATCTGATTTATACATGCAAGGGGGTAGTTCATGGGCTCCAGAAGCGGCAGGTGTTTTGCCTGTGGCTCAGCAAAATCCGCAAACAAGCACAGAGCACAGCGCCTGGCACTTTTCTGTATGTACTGTGTTACACTCGCCACACAATTATCTCCACATGAAAAGCACACATGCCGCTTTTACCTCTAAGCCATTCGTTGCTCATTTTATATGACCATTTCCTGTTTATATTAAACAAATTTTCTTATTAAAACGTTTGCGTGTAATCATATTACTAGGACATTTGTTCCATAGGGAAAAAATTATACACTTTTTCTAGTATGGAATGATGCAAACCCACAACGGTAAACGTACATGTATCGGTTAACGCACAATACATTGTATAATCCAAAAAATTAGTTTGGACTTTTTCATAGCTAATTTTAAATGGCTAGCCCACTCCAAAATGAATGTTCTATTTTTTATAGAGTGGAACAGCATCCTCCACAATGTCTTTTCTTTTGTCTAGGAGTCTACATGGGAGATTTTTTTTTTTCCCATGCCAATACAGCTGTGATCTGTGGAGAACCTGAGCTGAACTGCTTTGTTACTGGCATCAATCTTATGGAGAGTAGTGGTTGCCAACTTATGAGAAACAGTGAGCCTCAACTGGGGCCCCTGACATCACCAAGGGGCTGCACAGGATATTCACTACATGTAGTGGTTGAGAGGGCTGTCAGGTACTGCAGCCATACTAGAGGGGATGATAAACGGAGACCGTAGACATGCTGCGAAATATTGTGAAAGACTCCGAACATGTTACATGGGACGAATGGTGATTACTCCTATTATCCCGGTTCCAGTGACCACTGGCCCCAAGGAAAGAAAGTAAGAGAGAACCCCATATGTTGAGTTGCCAAAACATAAATGTTTTGGTGACAAATGTCTAAGAGATTATTCCCTTCACTTTGCTCAGTACTCCTTGTGTACAAAATTAAAAAGTGGAGGTAAACCTCCCCACTGGGACACAAATGACAAGTAACATGATGGGTTTTAACCATTCGCTACTCAGACAATTTTTTTTTCCATTTTGGATGAAGTGTAAAGGACAGTTTAGCTACAGGATCACAAATACACTTGAATACAAATGGTGTGACGTTATTGGTCAATCTTGCTGTATCTGCGCACATTTCTGGCAGAAATCTCCAATCCTATTTAACTAATGTTTCACAAATGGAAGATCTTTACGGTATCTTTCTCAGTTTTTATACATTTATGACATACATTATATTGCCAAAAGTATTGGTACACCTGCCTTTACACGCACATGATCTTTAATGGCATTCCAGTCTTGGTCTGTAGGGTTCAATATTGAATTGGCCCACCCTTTGCAGCTATAACAGCTTCCACTCTTCTGGGAAGGCTGTCCACGAGGTTTAGAAGTGTCTATGGGAATGTTTGACCATTCCTCCAGATGCGCATTTGTGAGGTCAGGTACTGATGTTGGACGAGAAGGCCTGGCTCGCAGTCTCCACTCTAATTCATCCCAAAGGTGTTCTATCGGGTTGAGGTCAGGACTCCGTGCAGGCCAGTCAAGTTCCTCTAACCCAAACTCGCTCATCCATGTCTTTATGGACCTTGCTTTGTGCACTGTTGTGCAGTCATGTTGAAACAGCAAGGGGCCATCTCCAAATTGTTCCCACAAAGTTGGGAGCATGAAATTGTCCAAAATGTCCTGGTATGCTGATCCCTTAAGAGTTCCCTTCACTGAAAGCACAAGTTCAAACCAGAAAACCTGAAGTATAGTCAAATGAAAGAGCCTTCAAACTTCTTCATATGTGGAAGCCATGTATCCAGTGCTGCAGTTATTGGTTCATCTTGCAGGGAATATACTAGCATTGCGTTTTGTTTAAAACACGCATACACTTTGAAAGTAGATATGTAATCTAGCAATACACAGAGGGTTCTAATGGTTCAGGCTTTAGCAGTTTCACCATTGTAGGTAGTTTGCGGAGCACTGGACTAGCTATTTGACCTGCAGTGATTAATAAACCTTAGGACCATACATTTTAATGCAAGGCCGTATTGTGTGATTGTGCACAGGGCCATAACTATGTATGATGGGGCCCCATAGCAAACCATTAAGAGTCTCCTCTCTTCTAATTTCTTTTAGTAATGCAGGATATTAACTGCTTTTATAGCAATCATATTTAGGTTCTCAAGTTATAAATACATGATTTTTCCAAATGTATTTGCCCTATGCTTTTGCTACCTTCATAAATCCCTGTGTAGCCAGACATTCTAAAGCAATAGTTACTACTTTGAATCTGCCGAAGTGCATCATGCTTGTTCGTTGTTATCTGTGAGACTGGCTTAAAATCGGCCTACCTGCTTTCGGGTTTTTGTTTAAAGTGACATTAAACCCTTACATATTTTTAAATCAATGCTACATGATGATTCTTACTGTTATCCATGCTTGCTTCATACCTCTTGGCTGCTGTTTCTTTAAAATCTTCAAAGTTCAGAATGCTGAAGGGGGGGAACGTCCGCTCTGCCTCCATCCTCCCCATGTACTTGCGCGCCTGTGCTAGGACTACAGAATTACGTAACAACGCACCCTGCATGAGGTGTACAGGACCGCCTACTCTTGATTGGCAGCGGCTCACGTGTGCTGTTGCTGTGATCGGATGAGATCTCTCATTCAAATCAAGGTTATATTTTTGTCTTGTGTATATGTCCATGAAGCAATGTAATGTGTATGATGGCTCCAGCCTTTTTTTTTTTTTAAAACAAGCTTTATGTTGTATGTGTATGGATTGTGGAGCAGTGTAATGTTTACATTATTGCAGTCTTTTTTTTTTTCCTTTTAACAAGTTTTATGTATGCTTAATAAAAAAGCATACTTAAATCTTGTTAAAAGAAAAAGACTGATGCAATGTAAACATTACATTGCTCTACAACCTATACACATTAAACATAATGCTTGTTTAAAAAAAAAAGCCAGAGCCATCATACACCTTACATTGCTTCATAGGCTATTACGTATTCATCAGTCTTGATCTCCTGTCACAGAGCCGTGTCGGTCCCGGCCGCATCGGGCACAGCGGATCTCGGGACCGAACACGGCAGTGACAGATGCTGATACAAGTGATCGAGCGTCTATAGAGACGCTCGATCGCTTGACTGTGTTAAGCTCTCGGCCGGCCGTGTAATTACAACGGCCGGCCGGGAAGCAGCTCGTCGGGCTTCACTGTCTGCTCGTCGTGGACGAGTGGATTTTTCGAGCCCTGGTCATAAAGCTTGTTGAGAGAGAAAAAACAAAACCTCGATGTGAATGAGAGATCTCAGCCGATGACCGCAACAGCACACAAGAGCCACTGCCAATCAAAGTAGGCGGTCCTGTACACGTCGGGCAGACTGTGTGATTCTGTAGTCCTACCACAGGAGCATGCACAGGGAGCGACTCCATGGAACACAGGAGGAGGATGGAGGCACTTGCAGAACAAAAGTTTCCCTCAGCATTCTGAACTCTGACGATTTTAAAATAACAGCAGCCAAGAGGTCTGAAACAAGCATGGATAACAGTAAGAACCATATTGTAGCATTGATTTATTTCAAAATATGTGAGGGTTTAGTGTCACTTTGACTTCTATGTTATTTTTGATGACCGTGTACACGGTAAAGTGACTCTAAACTCAGGAGTTAAATGTATCTTATTTGTGCATCACTCGGCTGTCGGTCCTCAAATCATCTCTGAATTGGTGCTGACACTGTCCTTCCTTCTAGAGGGTGGCTACTTGTTTCCCATGGTCGCTGTGTGTTGTAAAGTAGCCACTCCTCTAAGCTCGCTCCTGTGATGGACTACAAGGTCACGTTTAATTTGCTAATTTGTACTGAGATTGTAGTCCATCACGGGAGTGAACTTGGAGCGGTGACTACTTTATAACACACGCAGGGACCAAGATACACATATAAGGTCCAGTTTTGTTAATAGTGCCTAATGCATTTTTAAGATTTAACTCCTGAGTTTAGTGTCGCTTTTAATATTGGTGTCACTCAGTATGTAGAGGATTCTAAGACTGCCGGGATAATGTTAATGTTTCTTGCATTATGCTTTTATCTTATATATTTTTCCTAATAGGTCAAAGTTGGAGAACAAACTGCCACTGGAGCTGGGCCCAATAAGAAGACAGCAAAGCGAAATGCTGCAGAAGCCATGCTGTTGCAGCTTGGCTATAAAGCTTCAACACCCGTTGCAGAGAGCAGTGCAAAGGTAATATACAATATCAAAGCAGCCATAGAGGAGGGCAATAATAGACATTCGCCAATACTTATTGTAGTTCATGAGTATTCCATTCCCCTACCCTCCCCCACAAATACAACTATACATCAATACATTAAAATGACCTTGTCAATTTGATGGTTTTACCAACCCATATCTGTAAAAGAAGACTGGCTATACTCTCATTTCATGCTTCTCCCACTGCCAAATTTCTCTCCTATGCCAAGGAATCTTCTGCTGAGCTGCACACCAGATCCAACTCTTCCAGGCATATCAATCTCCATGGTCCTCAGCAGCTGTCACTGGTTCTTCCTGCCGACCCCCATGTCATTACTGTACCCTGTAATGGGTGGAGTTCAGAGAGAGAACCAAAAGGAGCTGTGGTCACAGTGGACAATGGCCCAACTGAAAGTGCATAGTTCACCTGAAGATTCCTCTGCGTGATAGGAGCTTAACAGCAGGAAAAATGAGTATGTCCTGCCTTCTTTTACTGATGTATATAAACTGCAGAAAAAGAATATCCAAGGGTGCTGGGATTTCAAACACTTGTTATGAACTTAAAAATACAGTCATTCAGTTAGCTCACTGGCTCCAAATAGGCTGCTCACATCAAAGAAGGATCCCCTTCAGTAGTTGTCAGGAAAGTCACTCAATACAAAGAAATGCAACAGGGTCAAGAATCCCAAAAACTTTAATAGTCTCTTAAGCACCATCACATAAAAAAAGCCAATGCGTTTTTGTGGCCCACATCATGCTCCCTTTATCAAGGGTCAGTTATCTTTAACCAAGCTCAGATGGAACCTTGCACTGCAAAGGTTCCCTCCCCGCAGCCTCCTCTCTAAGGCAGTTTCGTGGTTGCAGGTTATCAAGTACAATGCAGGCCCAATAGCCGGAGCATTGGGGAGGAGAGTGCCTCACTTCCAGGGGAGTGAGGGATAAGGTAAAAGTTCTTTTTTTGGCTACCCTAGGAATAAAGCAGCATTTAACCTGATCTGTGTGTTCTGAGCCGGCAACTCGGGAGCTATTTAACCAGATGGCATTTTTAGTAGGTGGGCAAAAACCAGCAACCCATAGGGCAAGGGTTAGTTATCAGATCATTTACTTTCTGTATATATTGTAACTTATCTTTCGAAGTTGTACCTTTTTATTGGTTGTGTTTTGATATTAGGGTTCCTCAATATTTATATAGTTTGAGATGACTTTTTTTTGTCTTTCTTGCAGCAAGCAGAAGTTCAGAGCTGGGGAGATCAAGGTTCTGGGGCATCTGACCAAACAAGCAGTAAGTATTTTCCTGCATACTATATAGAGGGAAAGAGCACACTCTGATTTTTGATATAATTAATGATGGTGAAAATCATTCTGTATTGTGCAATTTAATACACTAGTGTGCCTTGAGAAAGGTTTCTGGTTAGGCAGTATAATTACATTTGAAATCCCTACAGCACACCAGGTGGCTTCTTTAGTTTGTAGTAAATTTAAAGGGTCTGACATTTAAAAAAAAAAAAAAAAAATACTATGTAGTTCATGGGCTTGATGTAATCTGTAGGTACAGGATTGTGAGGCAAGTTTAAATTAACTGATACACAAATACACAAATATAGTTTATTATTTATATTATGTTTGTAGATGTAATGTCCTTAGACATATTGTGGGTGTTGTGAGAAAATTAGTTGTCAGGTATTGGTGTCCCTGTAACCCATGTAGCTGTTTTCAAATTAATTTTATTGTTGATGAAAGTTCATGGTGAAGAGAAGGGAAGCTTTAAGTTGCATAGTGGTGTGATCATGAAAGCCATTTTTGATTGTGTTTTTGGCTTCTTACTTTGTTTCAGAGGACAACTATATTATATAGTACATTATTAAAAATCTGAAATCTGGCCCCATAACATTTCATTATTAGGGAAGACTACTACTAAAACAAATGGTATGGAGTATGACAAATCCCTGGGAATAGAAATCTTCTAGCTAAAAAAAACATGCCGTGATGGTGCTTCTATTACTGAGAGCTATCTTTAATTAGGGTCAGAACTTGGCCTCTAACTGCCTCTTCTACCCCAGTTTCTGCACCACTGCTTTGTCTCCTAAGTTGAGTATTGTTATATGTTTCGGTGCTTCTGACTTGCATAACTCTGGTAACTGGATGTGGCTCATAATGATTTTGGGCCTGTTCACACGATATCAGGTGTGGATCTGCAGACGCGGTGCTGCTGATGCAGTGCGTTTTTGCAGTGTTTTGGCCCCGTTTTTGATGCGTTCCAGTTAAAAAAAATAAAAACTTTTTTTTTTTGCTGGAGTGGGGCTGTCAGTATGTTAGCTGCAGTGCAGTGCGTTTTGCGTTTCCGGTCCGTTTCCTGACCTTACAAAATGTGACATGCAGTATCTTTTCTGTCGTAACCTGAACGGACTGCGCACGTGAGAACTGTAGCCCATAAAACACATAGGGATACATTGGGATGCATTTTTAGTGCAGGAGCACAGAAAACAGATGAACAGGGCCTAAGAAAGAAAAACTTTCCAGGTTTTATTGCACAATACAAAGAAGTGCATAGTATCCACACACACACACTGACACGTACTCACCAGATTTCCAATTTTTCATATTCTAGCAAGGGCCTTTTGGTTATGTATGGCCATATATAATCTACCATTTGCAAACCGTTTTTCCAATTCAAGGCAGCATCCATTGGCCATTAAAATGAACTTAATCACACATTGAGTTTTTACAACGTGGCATGTTATTGTGCAATTGATGCAGTCAAATGTTGGCTTTGCATCCAGAAAGGTAATGTAGGACAAGCAGACCTCTGCCTGCCATTTCTTCTTAGGCAGATATACAGTATGCCTCTCTGTGGTTCCCTCAAGTCACCTGCACTCCTTAACTCTATGATGTCGAGAAAAATGAATTTATTTAAGGCACCCCAAGTAGCACAGTAGTTGATCTGTATATGGACAGCTTATGTTTAAACTGTTTTTATATTTTATTTTTAATTTTTGACGATCTATATAATTCTGTTATCTGCGACATCTTGTCACTGTGTAATGTTTCTTCACTGTACTGGACTATGGCTAGGCCTTCAGATTCTTATTACCCAACCTGACATTGGCCTAGTGCATGCCAGATGGCTTCCATTTTCTTATTCTGCTTCATTCTACTGGAATGTAAGTACTGTAAGTCTTGCACAGTCTGAGGAGCTGCTGTGCCTTTGTCTATTTTATATGCCAACAGTACAAACTGTACGCAAACATAGTGTGTGTGTGTATATGTATTTTCACTGTTTAGCCAGATCTTTTGAATATAATCTTATTGATTTGGCAGCTTTATTTCTGTTAAATCATTCATACTCTTTTTTTTTTTCCTGTCCATCGAAAAAAAAAACTTTCCATCTAAGCGCCGTTACTATGAAATGCACAAGTTGGGTAGAAACCATTTCGCTAATCAGTAGTGTTTTTGGAGGAAATTAACTGCTTGTCCTCTTTTTCCTGCTGCCTGTGTGTGCGCCCCCCCCCCCCCCCCCCCGGCCCCGTCCGCGCTC